GCTTTAGATGAACCTGTAACTATAAACAACAAAATAGCAACGATGTCCAACTCATCGGCTATCTAGTAACTAAGGGCGATGTATACATCAGCCATATTTGTTCTAAGGGCAATACATGTATCATCTATTGTTTGGACAACACTTTAGGCTTCTTCCCAAACACTTGGAAAGTATTTTTTTTCAAATACCTTTCGTTAATTGCTCTAGGGAGACGCTCACCTTGCAACGTCTCTAGCATGTATAAATTTCCAAACACCACTTTGATCACTTTCAATGGACCTTCCCAGCTAGAAGACCACTTGCCAAACTTGTTGCTCTTCATCCCAAGAGGTAGGATAGTATTCCACACTAAATGTCCAACTTGGGAAGATTTGTTTTTCACTTTCTTGTTATAGGCCCTTACAACTCTAGCTTTATCCTTCTCAATCTCCTTTAAAGCATGTAATCTCTTATCAGTCACCTCAATGATATTATCCATCATAATATCATGATACATAACAATGGATAAATCATTTTGCTTTGCAAGTCTACATGCATCCAAATTTACTTCAACGGGTAACACGGCCTCTTGACCATAAACAAGCTCAAAGGGAGTAATTTTAGTAGCACCATGCCTAGAGATACGATGAGCCCACAAAGCCTTAGACAAGACTTCATGCCATCTCCTAGGATTGTCCTCAATCTTTTTCTTAATTAACTTGATCAAAGTCTTATTGCTTGATTCAACTTGAGCATAATATGGAGATAAATTGAGCAACTTAATCTTATATAATTTGGCAGAATCCTTCACTTCCTTTGACATAAAAGACGAGGCAGTTCACATTCCCTGACACATTCATCCTTATCTTTAACAAGATTTAATGACACGCAATGACCGGTGGACCAAAGGTCATGCACATGTGCTTAGATACCGAAAGAGTCAGCATACCTTCGCAGAGATTCAATCAAGGGAATACCCATGGTACCTAAGAGGTGTTCAACACATGAAGGAATCAATTGCCTGGAGACCCTCGGTACCAGAGGAGTAATCGTCATGAGAGGAACAAGCTACTCGAGTGCCCTATGATGTAGACTAGGCCCGATCTTCCAAAAGGTATGATAGCGTTGATTGGTGGAGACTCGACGTTCATGATCTAGGCTTCGAACCAAGACTAATTCGGACTCCCACAACCGTTACACCACTGCTCAGTTGATTATCAACTACGTGAACGCGATTGACCTCGCCGAGAAGGCTTTCCTGCAAGCGAATCGAGAACACAAGCAAGAATGGGATGAACGCAATCTGAAATTGCAAATAAATAGGAGGCTTATGATAACGAGAAGGAGTTCAAGTCTTTATTCGAAAGGACTAATCGCCATAGGCGAACAAGATCAAGAACAGGGACCCTGGTTCACAGCAAGCGGCCTTGGCGGCACAGTTACAGCAAAACGACGCCTGTTTCACGAGAAAATCAAAAACTAAACAAAACCCAAACCCTAAGAAGAGCGACAGCTGCTAATTATAGAGTCTTGGGCGTCACCCCCCTGGACATGCCCCCTAATGGGTCTAAACATGACACACGGTCCAACGGACCAAAAGACGGTGTCGTACCATCCTGGTAGATTCTGGACGCTGACTTGTTTTGATGATTGCTGTTGATTCTGAGGGTCTTTTGATGTGAGACCACTTGGATTGGCTTCCTTATCAAATTAGCTTTCCAACCATATGTGGATCGTCGAAAACGGAGTCCGAATGCGTCTTGGGTGACCAGTTTAAGGCAGACTAGTCCTGGACTCCAAGACGGGCTCGAACTTTAGTTGCTTTGGGCCTCCACCTCGGGGACTCGAACCGAATTAGCCTCGGACCTCCTTCTTGACTTGGACACCCTTGCTGGTCTCCTACCCTTCCATACCATGTGCCAAACATGGTCATATACATGGGTGTCATGTCCTCATTACGAAGCAACAAATGTGATGATCAAGTTATCAAGCGTAGACAGCTGGCATTCCAATATCCATGGGATATGATCGAATGATCTGTTGTACTTTTCATGTAATGAACTGGGAAACACATCTATTAACCGACCGGATCCTCTGTAACTCTACCCCCAAACTATATAAGGAGGGGTAGGGACCCCCGGATCAGCACCCTACTACTTCCATTCTAGCGCATAGCTCACATCAGCACCCCTGTAACCGAGCATACGAACAAAGGAGACATCTGCTTCAAACTGGACGTAGGATACCATGTACCTAAACCAGTGTAAAGTATGTGTCTCGTGTGCTACCCATCTGAATCCCTGTGTGTGAATACGATGGTCCGTATTACCAGAGTAAATACTTCGGATACATAGCCTACTATCTATATGTGCTTTTAAGACACTGCTTCCCATGGTCGCAGGTTTCAGAAATATTTTTTCTGTTATCACTTATATGTTCCATTTCACTTTGTAGTGATCAATCTTGCCCCTATAAATATTGATTGAACATCACTGTTCTTATTTCAATAAAATTATTGCCAAGCAAATTGTTTGCGAACCAGTTGATAAGTGTCCTAATTTGCATTTATACCATACAAGTTGCTTTTTTCAGCTAGGATAGCTCTGTTAAGCCCACGGCAACGCGCGGGGTTCAGCTAGTTTCTAAGATTGTTCTAGCCCGTGTAAAAGCAGGAGCACAGGTTGCTCTACTAGTTGTCCCAACTAAAGTGAACAAGAAAACTCATTTTGTTAACGTAATAGTAAAGTACAACTAGGTGATTACCTCGCAGGCTCTAGGAATTTGGAAGTAATTTCAAATGATTTCTTTCGTCATGAAGTCACAAGATGTAGAAGCGATCTAATTTGAATTGTGTGGTGCAGTGATTTCAACTAGTCGGTTGTACATCCATCCATTTCCCATAGAAGTGGCACTCATCAGTGGTAATTAAGGTGTGGCATGATAGGTGAGTACGTGGAGATTCAAATTAACTAGCGGATACATTTGGGGCAGTGGTCGAATGACCGTAAGATTTAGATGGTGGGCATAGGCCTGTTTGGTTGAGCTCGCTTTTAAAATTTTTGATGTGAGCTGTGGGCTTTATGTAGGCTTTGAGAAAGCTCAAATTCGTTTGGTTGAACAGTTATGGTTTTTTAAAAAGCTGTTGTGAGCTGGTTCCACATGTCATCTGACCCCACCTATCAATCTCTTCTCTCTCGCTCGTCTTCTCCACTGTGCTCCCGACCGTCGTCCGTGGTCCGAGGGAGCATCGCCGCTGGCCTAAGGGAGCATCGTTGCCGGCCCCAGGGAGCTCGGCCGCCGTCCCAAGGGAGCCCTGCCACTTGCCAAGAGCTCCCACTACTACGTAAGCTTTTTCTGGAGACGGTCAAAATGGATATACCTAGGCAGGCAGCCAATCCGTCTACGATCTGATGATATGTTAATGGATATTAACACAGGCGGTGCAACGTCCGTCTGCGTAAGTATAAAAGAAAAAAAAAGAAAAAAAAACATATACAAGCCCAACACCAGGACCCGCGTTGAGCCCAACCACCGCCGTTCTGGCCGTGCCTGCACGGCCGCTGCGCACGTGGCAACCCAACAATGGGTATCGCTCTATCCAATGAAGACAGAGGCCTCGTTCGGCTGGTCTGAAGTTTGGCTTGTTCGGCTTCTTTTTTCAGCCGGAACAGTGTTTTTCTATCACAACATTTCAGGCAGAACATTGTTTTTCAACCAATTTCAGCCAAGTTTCAGACCAGCGAACGGGACTAGAGTATCCTGAATTGTGACACAACAAAGCAATCCAAAACAATGTGCGTACATGAATTGCATGCGACGAAGCAATGACGTGTAGCACAATTCCTTGGTACACAAATGGGTGGCAAGTAACTGAAGCAAATTCATAACCGTTGTTGGTTATTAGTTGGTTGTCAGTTGCGTATACACGTGACCAGGTAGCTCAGGGGATCTCCACTTTTAAATTCGGCCGCGCACAGGGACCCCTCCTCCCCATCTTCACTGTACCTCTACACACACTACTGCACGTGAAACGCCTACTATATACCACCGCAATGAGTTCATCACCAATTGGCAAGTACCTCAAAACAGTCTTCGCAAAGATAGTAGACAATTTCCTCTTGACCAATCGCAGTGCCATTCGCCACTGCAGCTGTCATCGTGGGAGCAAGCAGGTCTGATGAGCTCACCACTCTGCTTCGTTCTGTCAGGAACACGGACGTGCTCACAATTGGGTTCTCCTCTTGGGCACAGCACTGATCGTACTCGTCATGCGTCGCCCACGGGCGGTGTATCTCATTGACTACGCTTGCTTCCGTCCCCCAAATACCCACCGTGTTCCTGCCGCAGCCTTTGTCGAGCACGTCCAACAAGTCAGCCACTGGACTGAACGCAGTGTACGTTTCCTGACACGTCTTTACGAGCGTTCAGGCCTTGGTGCGGAAACATTCGTGCCTCTAGTAGGCCACTACATATATTCACCCGTACAAATACAGCAAGTTTGAGGACGGCCGCGAGGAGGCAGAGATGGCTGTTTTCTCGGCCATTGATGAACTGTTCTCGTAGACAAGCATTGCACTGCAAGCCGTCGATATCACCTGTTTGTTTGGGCTTATTTGGCTGATAAGTCTTGGCTGAAAATACTATTGGCTGATTTTATGTGAGAAAAGTACTGTTCGTTGGCTGAAAAAATACGGCTTATAAGTCAAACAAGTCCAAACGAACCGGACGATTCTTGTCACAAACTGCAGCGAGTTCAATCCAACACCAACTTTCTCTGACATGATTATAAACCGGTACAAAATGCGCAGCGACATCCACCATGTCCACCAGTCCAGTATGGGGTGCAGCGCAGGACTAATCTCGGTAGAGCTTGTGAAAAACCTCCGGCAAGCTGTGCTTTAGTTGTTTCAACGGAGACCCTCAGTGCCAATCCCTACCCGGGAAACGAGCGAGCTATGCTGCTTCCGTTTTGACTCTTTCGCATGGGCGGAGCTGCAGTGCTGCTGTCAACTTCCCCAAGCATGGCCAGATTCCGACTTAGGTGCATCATGCGTACACTCACCGCTGCAAGTGACCAGTCATACCAATGCATCTACAAAGAGGAAGATGACAAGGGATTTACTGGTGTTAATCTCTCCACTGAACTGGTGGGCGTCGCTGCAAGAACTGTCAAAGCCAACATCACGTCCATTGCGCCTCTTGTACTCCCGCCCTCTGAAAAGCTTTTGTTTGCAGCATCCTTCGCCGCACGGAAACTTCTCAATGGGCGGGTCAAGCTATATATCCCTGACTTCCTCTCTGTATTCCAGCACTTGTGCATTCATGCAGGCGGGCGAGCAGTAATTGATGGTGTCCAACGCAACTTCAGCCTATCGGACGAGAAGATTGAGCCATCAAGGATGACGCTGCATCGATTTGGTAACACATCTAGCAGCTCAATTTGGTATGAACTGGCATATGTTGAGGCTAAGGGCCGCATGTGCAAGGGCAATCAAGTGTGGATGATTGGGTTTGGCTCTGGGTTTAAGTGCAACAGTGCATTATGGGAGTGCATTCGACCTGTCCACGATGCACATGGACCATGGGCTGACTGCACCGATCGTTATCCAGTGCATATTCCCTGATACGCACAAAGCATACCATAATAAATGGTGGATATGCAACAGCTAACATGCTGTTCCATCCACACGTAGCAGAGATAATGGACATGCATGTAACACATACCATGATATTACATCCACAAAGTTACCATAATGATGTATCATGTATGCATAAAAAGCAGGTTTGTTACAAACAACAAAACCCGCTGTAAACTTGGAATCAGGCCCATAAGCAAATACTTCTGCGCCCAACAACTTATATGTATCAATACGTTGCGGATATGTGAAAATTAACAACAGTAACATGTGACTATTTTCAGAAACATACGCAGACCCCCACCCCACTCGGGTGGCGACCCAGCCGCCGCCGCCAAACCCCACCGCCGCTCCTCCTCCCTGGCCGCCGCCACCACTCTCCGGATAGATGTGGCACCTAACAAGGCTACCCTACAGTATCCTCCACCTCCTCCCCTTCTCTCCTCATGATGAGGTTTCAATTTTTGGTGACAAGGACGGCCGACGGCGAGCAAGAAGACCAACAGGGCACCGGATCCGCGTCCTCTAGCTCTGGATCTGGCGAGCCCTGCCCCGGATCTGGCTCCACCGGGCCGGCGGACGTAGACACATTTCTGGCCGGCGCATTTTTGGTTGACGGGCCGGACGCGGGCGTGGTGAGGCAGCGACCGAGGGTGCCAGCCACGGCGCTCAGACAGGCACTAGCGAGGCGAGTGTGGCGCAAGGCTGAGCGATGCGGAGGCCTGCGGCCAGGTCGTGGCGGGCGGCGCGGGCCATGGATCTCCTCCATGCCGCTTCTTGCAGTCGTGGGAACGCCGCACCGACTCGTGGCTCGGGATCCAACAGCACAGACGTCGCTCCGTCAGTCAGCAGTAGGCAAAGGGCCCCTCGTTTGGGTGGACTCCTTAACATCGCTTGTCATGGTGTACAGGCGGTGAGGGAAGACACTACGTGCTTGGATTGGCTAGATCTGGGGGTGACCTCCGGCATCGCTGATCCACTCCGTCTCCTCGTTGTTGGTAAAGTTCTACATGCCAAGTTGCGATTTGGCCTTGCTCACACAGGCAAATGAAGCCTGGGTGAAAACCCTGCTTGGCTGTAGCTCTAGGCCAGCGACGATGATGCCTATGGCGCCATATCCCCCCTGGAGGCATCACTGAAGATTTCAGTTCCTGCTATCGCAACAGCCCTTCCTAACTTGCGGCCATCCGCTGGGCAAGTCCTAGGGCGAAATCCCTTCTGAGTTTGTTGCTCGGGACATCAATAGTGGCGCCCCTGGGTGTTGCTCCCCTTCCTGAAGGCATCGATACATCCATGCCCGCATCCGTTCGTGCTTCAGCTCATCCTTGAGCTGTTCCCAAATACTCTCACCCCCTCTTGGTATTGGTTTACCTACCGTCCTACCCATTGGCTTTTGCACATAGTCTTGCTGGCAGGTGCTCACTGTCAATGGCTTTCTCTGTCATCCTCTATGTCACTAGACTGCTCCGCCTTATCATATGCTAGGTTGCAGGGACCTTGATATCTTTCTTTGCGTCGGTTGGTCCCAAGATACTCTTATAAGGTGATGTGACTCACAGCTGTTGCCTATTGGCTCTGACCCTATGCCTTGCAATCTCCTAGCTGTCGTCTGTCGGATCCGACTCAATACCTTATATTACATGTGGATTAGAGCTCTTCAGAGTCTGTCATTGGTGGTGACACACGTCACTGTCGTAGTGGTTGCACTCGCTCAAGTTGTAGGCTGAGCTGGTAGCTAAACCATGTTGTTTTGTTGTTGTTTCTTTTAGTGCTGTGATATCTCTCTCCCACTTGTCTTGTAGTCTTATGGCCTTCTAGGGTCGCCCCTGTATTAGGTGCTCTACAGCCTCCATTCTTGGCTTTGCTAATATCAGTGGAAAACTATTCAGGTGGGGACTTTTTGTCCCTCCCAGTGATGTCTTAAAAAACAACAGTGATGTGTTTCTATTCTGTGAGAAACCAAGAGGGATGAATTGGATGCTTGATTTCAAATTTAAAATATATGACTCAATTTAAACTATTACTAGACAAACTATAAACTACTACAGTGAGACAATACTACAATACCCATTTCTACAATTGGTCAAAGAAAATAATAGAGGCGGTCAAGCCACCTAATATACGTGTAATCCAGGGTTTGTGTTAATCACAGTTTCTAGAGGTGGTCCTATATGCTTGCTTTTGTTAATAAATTATTTAAAAGAAACCGACGAGCCCCATGACAAGACCAGCTAAGCCCATTGGTGAGGCCTACAAAGCTCAATGATGAGCTGTCACCGTGCACCCTCCTGTGCCGCTAGCCTTGACAGCTAGTCTCCGTGATACCTCCTCTGACCACCCAACAAATTTGGAGTCCATCGTCATTCTTCGTGCTGCCGTATCTCGCCTCCACTAGATCTAGGACAGAAGAGAGAGTGAGGGCAAGCTAGGGAGGAGAGGAAGAGGTGGAGACATGAGATGAAGTGATCCCCAGGCCGGATCTGCCTCACCACCACTGGATCCAGACCTCATGACTCCCTATGCTTTTCATTGGGCCAGCCGCGCCACCGCACCTCATGACTTGCACTCGACCATGCCTTGGCTAGCTGACCTGCACTCGCTGACGTGCTCAGGTTGTGCCTTGCCCTCAACCTGCCACACTGCTACTCTTATACCCTGTATCATGCTTGACCGCGCCCGGGTCACACTGCTAGGGTTAGGGTGGAGAGGATGGTGCTATTCGGTCGAGTGGAATAGGATGGATTGGAGTGCTTGAGTGGGCTAAGGTTGTCGTTATTATTGGCACTAGGTACCCTCACCACATGGAAAATAGTCTAAATGGGACAGAGTGGGCTGAGCATACTGAACGGGTGGCCTAAACCGGATGGGGTACCTCAGGTAACTTGTTGTGGCATTGACTTGACAAACTTAGAAGCCAATCAATCTGTAAAGATTCACTCATATCCATCTCTTATTTCCTTATAACAAATTAGAAAATTATTGGATATGATTAGGGTTACTCGATGTAAACACTACCCGCGAATTATATATAAGGAGGGGTAGATTTCCCTGCTTTGTGAGACGAGCTCTTATAGCAATCAACCTTTAGAGCAACTTCAGCACCTCTTTAGCCCAAACACATAGCTCATAGAGAAACAATATTATCCACTAATGTAGGGTGTCCCATGATGAAAAAGGGGATCCTGATTTTTTGTCAGGTGGAGTTAACTATCGACTTGATGGAGATGCGATGTACAAATCCGGCTTCATATCCAAAGACCCAAACCCTGAAATCTTAGCATCATGTCTCCTCTAGTTATCAAGCTTCTCACTCTACCATGTTGACCTCGTTGAGAAGGCTAATCGCTACACAGGAATCGAAGAAACCAATAACTTGAAAGAATGTAATCTGAATGAAGTGATAGTTGCAGATATATATGTTTAAGCACTAGAAGTTTGGGTCTCACAAACTGATAAACAACAACTGTTCAATGATGATTAATCTAGAAAACCCAAACCCTAACTTGGGCAGTAGGCACTAAATATGTAGTCTAAGGGACATCCAAGGACCCCTATTCGTGTCCCTAACGACCTAAAGACGGTGATGCAAGGATGTTCACTTGCTTCGATGATTCTTGTTGATTCTAAAGGAAATTTGATGTTGGACCAGTGCGAATGGAAATTTTATCTTCTTAGCTTTACATGCATAGGTAGAACATCTAAATTGGAGTCCATATGTGATCTGGACGTCCGTTTTAGTGCGCGCTGCTCCTGCCGTCCGAGATGGACTCGAACTTAATATGGATTGGACCTCCAACTTGTCCTAGACACCCATGCTGGTCTTCTAAGGTGGTTTCCAAGGATGAGGATGTCCTTGGGCATCCTTGGGCTGTTCTCCACATGGTTGGTGCAAGCTCCCAACCTACTTGGGCAAGTGTCCCAAGGCTAATTAATAGGCCATGATGATGTAGCACCCGATAGAAACAACAACAGCTTGTTATGATGATATTGAGGTGGGATTAGATCTATTTCAAAACTTATCAAACAAGTTTTTCATCAAGTGTTCATTGACCTCAATCGCCCTCTGGATGAATGAGTTATGGTCTATCTAGTGAAGCATCATCGTACTACCGACGAATCGAATGTTGGGCTATGATGAGCTTGGAATCCAAGATCAGTCTTGTGCATTGTGTATCCATGTCCCATGTGCTATAGAGGCCATAGGAAGTGCCTTTCCAAATCATCATCATCATTGTTCCTAAGCATATTGAAAGTATTGACATTAGGTAGCATCATTCTTATTTATATCATTATACAAATATAGAAACGAGCTCACCTTGTATTCAATGGTTGTATCCTTAGTTGTCATGTCCTCATCACCCCATACCTAAACTAGTATAAATCTGTGTCTCTTGTGCTACGCCTCTAATTTCCTATAAGCAAAACATTGATCTTGTTGGACGCTAAATTGAGCAATTGTTTTTGTGACAGGTAGGGTAAATTTGTGCGTAGATTCATTTTTGGGTTTCAGATGGGCATCATCTTCAACATTCACAACCTTGACGCTTCACTCTAGGCACATCATGATCTCCTTCGGCAGCTTAGACTTTGTCGCAAACCAACTTGGCGACAACTAGTGTACAATCTCTTGGTGTGCACAAGCACAGATAGCATGGAGGTATGCAAACCTCAATAAACACTAGGACTAAATCTGGAGGAAGCACTAAACTAACCTCTAACTGGACTAAGCACTTTGCAAAGGATTCTTGCTGATTGCATTATATGTCCTTAAGCACTTTTGGTGCTAGAGCACTAATTGATGAGCCTCAACTCACTAGCAACTTCCCTTAGATCCAACACACTTCATTTGGCCGATTGGGGGGCTAGCCATTAGCTTTGGACTGCACAAAAGCAGCGAGTGCTGGAGAGCTCTAGTGACCCCAATCGGAGAGTTGTACTGCTTGCCATGTAGACTAGTTGTTAGCCAACCTTTGGAGAGCCTAAGCTTTGGTGCGCCATTAGAGAGTTTTGGTGAATGTATCACCTCCACTGTGTCTCCAACACCTCTTTGTAACTATACTTCAATGCACTATAATCTTCATTTCTTTGCGTCTTTTCGTGTGGGCTTCTTCCACTTGGTATATTGGACTTCTTGCTTGTTTTCTAGGTTATTCAAAGTATCTGCTTGACCTTTGCTTAGGATGTTGATCACATGACGACTACTGTAGCATTGTCCAAATCCATCCTTGGATCCATAGGACTAAAACCTTGTATACTAGCAAACAATGTTAGTCCAATGGATCATGTTGTTACTCAATCACCAAAATCACTAAATGGCCCTCGGTAGGTGCATGCCATTGTCCTCACTATCGCCCTCTTTTTGGTGATTGATGACAATACAACTAAAGAAAGCAAAAAATAATACCAAAACTGAGACTACCTACTTACTTTGATGTAATGTACATAGGAGCAATATCATATGAAATCAATTGAAATGCAAAAAAATACCAATTTGAACTACCTTACCTTGCTCTTACCAATTATATTTGTCCCCCCTTTATGTGACATTATAGACATAAGCTTCCCCTTGCTCCATAATCCACTTCTCCCTTTCTAGAACCAATCTCCCTCATCTTACTTTTAATCATCAAAAAAATATGAAAATCTATGATTTTTGGTGCTTTTGGTATTTACTATTTTATGTGCTTGATTTGGTTCACAAATTCTTCACCATTGGAATCAAATACCAAAAGAGCAAGGCATTTGTAGTACAAGGGAGCAATTATTATGATCCTTTGATTTTGAGTGGAGTGGATCACAATACTTGACTATGACATTACATAGGTTAAGGCCCCCCCTAAGTGTATGCATACATATAGTGAAAGCCAAAACATATGTATTACTGAGACTCCCGCCAAACAATTTGATTATTATTTCTGCTTATGACGCCGGCTTCAGAACTTTGAAACTAGAAAAATCAAGAATCGAAAAAAAATCCACATGGTATGATGATTATAATTGAGGAGTCTGCTATATGGGGAAACACAATTAAGCAAGACCGCTAGAAAATCTTTATTAGTTTGTTTAGATGGGTTATTATAAAATATTCAAACATGATACAAAATTGTGAAATATAAAAAATCATAGAGCTGTGAAAGAATATGTTCCAAGGATAAAAAGAAAAGAAAGAGAATAAAACAGAAAATGAAAAAAAAAACATAAAGGAGGCTGTGCGTGGCATCCCCGCCCATGCGTAGGCGACGTAAGGACAACATATAGGTTCGATTTAGGGGAAGGATTTTAGCGTGCCGTCTCTGCTTTATCTCGATCATGTCAGAGCCATATTCTTCGGCAGCCTCCATAAATAACTGTATTAGCAGTTTGCAACTTATCTGATTGCTAACACACTAGTGACACTACGCAATTTATACTGACCATCTATCAACACTACCAGAGAACAGACTTTAGAACGATGTTCCAATTTGGCTTTAGCCTCGGTATTTTTTGCCCCCAGGACTAGAGAGGCCTTTAGTCCCGGTTGGTGTTGGAGCCACCAACCGGGACTAAAAGTGGACCTTTACTCCCGGTTGGAACCACCAACCGGGACTAAAAATCCTCCAACCATTAGTCCCGGTTGGTAATACCAACCTTGACTAAAGGTAGACCCTTTAGTCCCGGTTGGTGGGTTAGTTCAAAAGGAAAGCATCCCATCCATTGTTAGATGTGTTGTGTAGGTGGGGTGGTAAGCTACGCGCGAGGCAGTGTATGAGGTCTTAGGTTCGAATCTCACGAGGTGCAGCGGTAGAAGGCATTATTTTTGTTTAAAGCTGGGAGGATCTTTAGTCCCGGTTGTGGCAAACTGGGACTAAAGAACAACACCTTTAGTCCCGGATTGCTAGTTCGGTTGGAAAACCGGGAGTAGAGCTAGTTTCCAACCAGGACTAGATCTCATTTCTGTAGTAGTACAACTTATCTGCCTCCAACTATAATTTACTTAATGCATCATGCACGTGAATTGCGCACAGTGAACTGTGGACAGTACTATGGAACAACAGTTAATGCTAGCACACTACCAGTCTATCAACATGACAAGGAAAAGAAAAGTACAGAAAATCAATCCTTAAGTATGGTTGGCAAGTAAGAGCAAATTCAGTGTTGGTGTCCACTCTGATAAACAGTCACATCTGTTTTGCCGTTTTAAACTCTCTCGCCCTCTGGCCAGTTCTCTCGATTCTCACCACCGTCACATTGCTCCACCTACAAGCTGCAGCATGAGTCCATCGATTGATATGTGCCTCAAAATTGTCTACGAAAAGATTGTAGACAATTTCCTCCTGGTAGTCGCTGTACCACTCACCATTGCCGCAGCTACTACTGCGATGGCAAGACTCAAGCCTAACGAGTCCACAGATCGAATTCAATCCTTCAGTCATCCACAGATCTTGTCAATTTTGTTGTTCTTGGCTATCGCAGTGATCGCATATTACATGCAGCGCCCACGCATGGTGTACCTCGTCGACTATGCTTGCTTCCGCACCACATATAACTACCGTGTTCCCTATGCCGCTTTTGTTGAGCATGTCCGCCAAGTCAGCCATTTCAGTGAGCGTAGCGTCCGTTTCCTGACACGCCTACTCGAGCGATCAGGCCTTGGAGAGGAGACATGCCTTCCTACAGTGAGCCAGTACATTAAACCCTACAAGTACTGCACGTTGGAGGCTGCTCGCGAGGAAGCTCAGCTCGTCGTCTTCTCAGCCATTGACGATCTATTTGCCAAAACGAACATTTCTCCTCTCGCCATTGACATTCTGGTCGTAAACTGTGGATTTAGTCCGACACCAGGTTTCCCCGACATGATCATGAACAAGTACAAGATGCGTAGTGACATCCGCAACGTCCATCTATCTGGAATGGGGTGCAGCGCGGGTTTAGCCTCCGTAGACCTCGCCAAGAACCTTCTGCAGGCCACGCCGCGAGGGGCACGGGCGTTGGTCGTGTCAACAGAAACTCTCACACCCAACTACTATTTTGGGAACGAGAGAGCTATGCTGCTTCCATATTGCTTGTTCCGCATGGGCGGAGCTGCAGTGCTGCTTTCAACATCACCCGCAAAGGCCCGTTTTCGACTCAAGTATGTCGTTCGGACACACACTGCAGCAGACGACAAGTCATACCAGTGCATCTATCAGAAAGAGGATGACATGGGAAACAAAGGGGTGGATCTCTCCACGGATCTCATGGCCGTTGCTGCCAGGACGCTCAAAGCCAACATCACCACCATTGCGCCGCTCGTCCTTCCAGCCTCCGAGAAACTCTTGTTTGCAATGTCCTTCGTATCTACGAAGCTTCTCAGAATGCGGACCAAGTTGTACGTGCCTAACTTCCTCACAGCGTTCGAGCATATTTGCATCCATGCAGGTGGGCGTGCAGTGATTGATGAGATCCAGCGCAGCCTAGGTCTGTCAGACGAGCATGTTGAGTCATCCAGGATGACACTGCATCGATTCGGCAACATATCTAGCAGCTGCTTATGGTATGAATTGGCATACATCGAGGCCAAGCGCCACATGCAAAAGGGTGATCGAGTATGGATGATTGGATTTGGTTCTGGATTCAAGTGCAACAGTGCAGTATGGGAGTGCATCGTTCCACAAAATAGTGAAGATGGGCCATGGGCTAGGTGCATCCATCGTTATCCAGTACGTACATGATCCTTAATTATTAAGATCCACAAAACGTGTTGTACTAATTAATAAGTATGGATAATTAAATGCTCCTGATTTCTACCAATCCCCCTGCAACATAATTAAGACTTCCCCTCTTTCTCCTCTTTCTACCTTTTTCAAAGCTCTACTTGCGCACTTGATGATTATACTAAATCCATCAGTAGCTATTTGGTATCCAGCATATTTCCACTAGCTATTTAGCTGGAGATGAGGATACTTATATTAGTGGTCTTGGTTTGGTGGTGCACAAAGCTTCAAAAAGCAGATATGGTTGTTTCTCTCCCCCTATATTATATTTATTTGTATCATGTCAAAATTATGGAACAAGCCAAGAAAGGATGATTACACAAGTTGCAATTTTAAGATTTTGAATTTATGTATGACTTATTTTAGTTGTTGTTTTTCTTTGGTACATCCGACTCTATGATGATTTATTTATATGTTTCATTGTTGGGATATGTGCTAGTACTTTGTAATAATTTTAGCCCGATGTATCTTTATTAGAAGATGTCTGAAGCCGAAAACGCTCTATTATCTTAAAAAAAACAAGGTTGAAGGTGTAATGTAAAGCTAAAAATTTCCAGCACAAGGAATGCACCAACCGCTGAATTTCATATTTCAATTGAAGGTGGTACCATAAAAGGCGCACCTAAGTATCAGCTTGTTAGAACTAAAGAACCTACAAGAACTAACAAACCTAATGGTGATGACATCTAAGAGATATGTTTGGATCTCATCCTCATAGTGAGGATCTAGATTCTAGATAGTGAATGTAGAATATAGATCCAGTACTAAAAAATGAGGGGTGTTTGAATCTCATTTGACTATTGCCTATGCATAGTAAAAATTTCCAAATAGTAGGTTTGAGGTAGATAATTGGATTCTACACTACTAAAAAAACATTTTCGCAATAGCATTTTCACCAACACTTTAGTAAAAACTGTTTGTGATAATATTTCACCACTAGTTTATAATAGGGCAACCATGAAAATCAGGAGCTTTTTCATCCAAAGGTTTGTATCACAAACCATTGGTGAAAATGTTTGCACTATATCTATCTCCATATATAGAAGCCCGTTTGACTCATCTTGGCCCGCTAATATAGCCTCGAACTATATAATTTGAAAAACCCTAGGACCTCCCACAATCCCACCACATCTAGCCCCACCTCCCTCTGCGTTGCATCTCTCTTTCCTCACCATGCCTTGGCTCTGCTCCCTTCCCTCCGCCTCCAACTGTGTTGGTATTTCTTATGCTTAAGTGAATAATTCCACAAGAGCACAGAATACTGTTGTAGCATTTCACTGGCCAAAGAATATCATATTTATCCTCAGGGAAACAATGCCCAAAGAATATTATAGCTAACCATGATGTATCTACTAACTAATTATACCAACTAAAGCAAAGTGGGGTAACGATAATAATAAGGTAGTGTGATACACAGAAGTTACACTCAAGAAAGGTAAGGTGAAAGCATAACTAAGTGGGAGAACAAAGAGTGAGGTAGTTTCTTAACTAAATTCTTCTTTATCACAAAGGTTCTTTCTTAACTATAGCTTAGCAATATAACAGCATAACAAGATTAATGATCACACACCAAGCACTTCAGAGCTCTGTTTTGGTCAAGCACAGCAAAAGATGACTTATGTGCCGTTGCAGCTTTGGGCCCTATGCTTTAAAAACTTGCACAAACATGTGGTGGACTACAGAGACTAGATGGGGCTGTAACCACCCACTAGCTACCACACATCTAGGGAGCAAGCCGCAAACATGGGTAAACTTTAGTCTAAGCACTACGCTTAAACTAATGAATACTACTCTAGTTTCCAATTGGAAGATCAAACTAGAGCACTCAATTAAGAGCGGTGAACCCGTGCAAGGTGTGAACACTACTCTAATGATACTAAAGATATACTACTTAGACTATACTAAGGAAACCAAAAGTATTACTACAACAAAAGGAATAGTAAAACTTACACTAAGTAAGACATGTGAATAAAGAAGATAATAATATATTGCATACATAAAGTCTAATATGGAAGGTAAGATATAAGAGCTATCTCACCTTTCCAGAGACCAAGGCTAGCTCCTCTCCACCTTTCCTAAGACTAAGGCATAGCTCCACTCACTCTAACTCCCACTAACACTAACACTAATACTACATCTTGAGAGAGTGGAGATCTTCTTGTGGTGTGTTATAAGTGAGGTGAGGGGTCCTATTTATATCTTGGATTGAGGTGACTTGGAAGAGTGGACGTGCTTGTTGGTATTTCTTAACGTTTACAGAAAGAATCCGCAAGCGTACGGAATTACCGTTGTAGCTTTCACCCGAAAGTATTCAGGGTATCGCATTTTCCATAGGGAACGGAGGTATTTCTTCTAGATAATCCGTCCAAGGACAACACAAGGATAGCCGATGAGGGTGGAGATGGATTCCTATGGCTTTAAGGTCTATGGATAGATAAACTCTACTTCTACTTGCTTACTTCGGGCACCAGTGAACACCTGGTCTGCCAAGCGTTGCCGGCCTACGGCTCTACGTTGAACCCGAACGTGGGGGATTACAAGGGACGAATAGGGCTGTCACCACCTGCCGCCTACCCCTCAACCATGGGGAATGAGGCAAACGAAGGTAGCCTCTAGCCTAGACACCACGTCTACGCTATTGACTACTACTCTAGTGTCCGCGTAGGGTTATCAGTCTTTATTAGGGCCCTCTACTAGAGTATCCGCTACGAGAGCGGACGACGAACCCACAAACAAGTAAAGGTATAGCTTAACTAATCAATAGACTTTTATAACCAAAGGAACCACGAACACTTACTAAGATACCCGTTGAGGTACAAAGCCGGTGTTCATCGAGGTACAAGCGGGGAGACACCGACAAGTCCAGCTCTTCCCCGAACTCTCCCTCACATCTCTCCCTATTTCTTTGCTAGAGCTAGCTACCTAGGGCCTAAGCCCATTGGAGTGGTGTTGCTCTTGCACTTCTTGGTGCTCCTCTCTCTTGTGTGTTGTTGAACGAGAGCTCTTTGTTTCTACTTATACTAGTGTGTGGTCAGTTTGGTGTGCTATACATGGAAACCCCTATGTAACCGACCTCCTCTAGCATTAATGGCACCGCCTGAGCAACGTAGGCCTAAGAGGCAGTGGTGGGCATAAGGCCACACCTAGGGTGCGCCTGCACCCTGGCTGGCACGCCTAGCCACCGTCCTTCTCTGGTCGGTGGCTAGGTGGGCCTAGGCCACGTCTACGCCTATGCTTGGCCTAGAATTGGTAGTTGGATGGGCCTTCTTCTCCTTCTTTGCAAATGTTCTCCTTTGCGCTTTGATGGATGGTGTATTTTGACTATAATTCCCTTGTATTTAAGTATGAGTCGTGCAAAATAGTAAATCTCCAATACGAGTGGAACTATGTCAATAATAAAGGCATATGTGTATAAGTTTGCTGAATTTCTCCTATTTTGGTCTTATATTGGTAGTTGGATATGGTCATTAAGGACTGCCAACAAACTCCCCCACACTTAGCCCTTTGCTCGTCCTTGAGTAAAGCCTCGAGATAAAAGTAGTCATGAGCATAATATCCTAAGATATATGGCTTATAGAGAAAGTTATTCCATCGCATTCTTTATACAAGTGGGATATATGGCGTTAGCTAACATGTTTCCTTGGGTTGTTGAAAAGTGGAACAGCTCTCAGAACAAAGTCATCATCCCAATTTCACATCTTAGTACTTTGAGTTTTTGAAAGTTTTCTCAAGAAAAACATAGTTAACTGTTGGTATTTATTAACTTGTCACTTGTTTAGTAGCCACCTATTATAAACTTATATCTCCTAACATTACTTTACTAGGTTGTCATCCCTAGTGATGATGCCAGAGATGTATGTTGGTACTATATAGTATTACTACTAGAATAATACTAAGTAGTTCTTTATTAATTTATGTGACTAGAAAGAATATATAAATATATGAATGAAAAGGATCTACAAGCGCATAGATAATTATACCATTGTAGCACTTCACCCGGGAGTATTCTAGGTATCGTTATTTATATTTTTACCACAGGAATGGTCTAGCATGGACATGTATTGCTAACTTATACTATTGATGGAGAAGTAAACCATAACCAATATTCTACTCATAACAGGGGTAAGTCATAGGATAAGATATATATATATATATATATATGATAAGTATTGATCATCAATAATGACAAATCATTCAGAGTATTTCTTTCTATGGCATTAGCATGGTCAGATAGAATATTAGAGGAATAATTCCTAAGTCATTCTTAATTACAAGTCAAAGCATACATTGATTAGTGCAATTACACCTAATAGTCATGGATAAGGTTATATTTATATCTACACATAAGGGATACTACTAAGGAAGATTAAGAATAGAGCTTGTTATTCCTTCGTAACCGGACCGTACTTGCACCTATATTCGGGAAGTGGACTACAAAGGACTCAATTGGAGTGTCACATCCGCGATCTACCACATGACCCAGAATATAGGGTGTATCCGCAAGTAAACAACGTATAAGCACCATGCTTACACAATGTGGACCACCCACCCCATGTACTTTAGAGTGAGCGCTATACGAACTTATGCATAAACATAATGATAAACTAGCTATACTTAGTATATAATCAAAGTAGATATTGAACATTATAACAAAGAACATGAATAAGATGAATACTAATATTATCATAACAATTGTAACTAGCATATAAAAATAATAGAGGTACAAAAGAGAGGGGGTACAAAGATTATACCAAATCATGCTCTTGACACGATCGGGAATCCAAGCGAAGCCTGCTTGCCTCCCTCTAGACCTAGCCTAACTAGCTATGCCCTAAAATATGGTGGAGCTCTGAGGATGATTAGGGTTTATGTCTTCTCAAATGACTTGATGATTGGGGTTATGCCTGGTGGTGGCAGGGGCTAGTATATGTATAGGCTAGAGCATCCAACGTGAGCCC